ACACACACACATAATTCCTATACGAATAATCTCGGAAGATTTTATTTACTAGAGTATAAAGTCCCTATTTGCATTCAAAGCGCTATATATGGCAATCTGATTGCGAGATTATCTGAGATAGTCTGATGCAATGATTATCCAGTATTATCCATCATCTCCTTATCAGAATTCTAAGAATAATTCTGAGAATCAAACATATATTTAGCGCTAAATGTAAAATACAAATAGTACTAGTAGGACGTAATTTAGAGTTACAAGTTTACACATTTTATATGCAGAACCTTGACATCACAATTCTCAATCACAATAAAAAAAAATGATCCATAAGGATGTTATCAATGTAAGGAAAAATTACATTAATTAGAGACTTTTATGGCAGTTATTTCTTTATAGAGACTAAATTCGATGTAAGTTCGGTAACTTTAATTTTTAATATCATAGAGGATTAATGTACGTAGGTATTGTACTGTATAACTCTGTTTCATTTGCATCTTACCATTGTGCAATTCAGAGATGTAGTAGTGTTACTGAAACTTTGAATACGCCAGTAGGTAGTGTTTCTGAATTCTTAATGCACCGATAAGATAATCACTAATGGTCATTGAGATCGTCAAAGATATATATATCTACATTTATTGCAGATTTCACGTAGGCTTCCAAGCTACCACTCTCATTTTGTTGTTCAGTTCTTGCAATATGAGAGAACAAGTGAGCTGTTTCTCTGGAGATAATCCATTGATTCCATCCATTTCATCGTCATCATCACCCATGCCACTGTTACTGCCATTCTTGCCCTTTCCCTTTCCTTTTCGTTTTTTCTTTTTATTCAACTGACGACAATCAATATCATTTGAATTGTCTGTAGTTCTTCTGATCTAAAAGAATAAAATAGCTTTTATACACGCATTAAGAATATCAAATATTCTTTCAAATGATATAATAATATATTACAATACAATATTATTATATATATTAAACAAATATTAATATGTTGTGCATAGCAGTAATACAAGTTAAAACAGAATTGCGATCTAATAAATCTATGTGTACACAAAATGTTGATATTAAAAACAATATTCTATTCTACCTTGGCACTTTTTTTCATCTGCTTATCATATTCCAAAGCGTCATAATAATTTGGCTTCTCGCGTTTAATGCGATTTGTTCTTCTTGTTTTCATCACTCCACCGTCGGGACTGGGTGGACTTTTGATAGAATTACGTCTTGCATTGAAAAAAGAATGTCCACAAGGACAAGCTTTACAGGCAACAGGTACCTTATTATAAGAGAAATAGTCAAATTTATTAATATCTTCAACTTAGCATAGCATGCAATTTATAGACAATTAATTTAATAAATATCAGCAAAGGAAAATATAACATATTTCAAGGTACAAAATTTATGAAATCCTTAAAATAATATATTATTAATAAGATTCTTATAAAAAAAATAGTAAATAATATACAAGTATATAATAATTTAATAACCGCTCTCATTCAATTAATAAATGAAACCTCGGTGAGAGAATGCATTTATGCATCATACATGTCTACAAAAAAAAATTTCGCATATTTTATTCGATAATTTGGGCATTTCAATATTAAATTTTGAAAAAATTTAATAAATATATATATAAGATAAATATTACAGAAAAGTTCAATAAATAATAAAAATAAAAGTGCATTCTTAATGACAAACGTGAATCATCACATAAATAAGATATAACTTCATAAATATACGAAAGGCATATTGTGTGTATGTGTGTGAGTAAAATTATAAAAAAAAATGTATGAATTATTACACACGACGAGAATTTATCTAAATACCTGCTGCTCGCATTTGGGGCATCCCTTGCTAATTGTTTTGGTCTTGGCCATATTTCCAGTCGAACCACTTCAACGATACAGAGATTATTTCCAATTAGGAAATGTAAACATGACAATCGTAACAAAGAAACAAGCAATTATGGCTTTTTTGATGTACGTACTCAGCGCCACTTCAACAATATTGAAACTCTGTAGATAACTTGATGAGAAAATTCTCACTATCGATAATTACCAGCAGTTGACAAAGAATGAGCGTACTTATCGACGTAGTTTTTAAATAAAATAATATTTAAATTTAAACAATGTAAATTCAAATTGGCGAAATATTAAAAGAATAGATACGATCTTCATTGTGATATTATTTAACACATACTCAGATTATTCTGGTATTTTACTCAATTATTATATCTTAATATTTTTTTCAGCTGATTCCTCTTCAGACTCATCATGTTGGAGAAAAGAAAGAAAGATGTGATAACGGCAGGGTTGGGTAAGTTACTTTTTTCTTTTAACTAAGTTAAGTTAAAGTTAACAACCTTGAAAATTTAACTTAGTTAAGATACAAGTTAATGTATAATGAAATTAATTGAA